ACTCTGGGCCTGCTGGCAGATGGGGATGCAGCAGCAGTGGGAGCTGGGCCAGGCCCTGCGGAGCCGCTACCACGGGTTCCTGAACGCCTCATACCAACGGCAGGAGGTCAGTGTCTTGTACCCCCCCAGAGGGGTCCTCACTCCCCTGCCTCCCTGCTTTGACTGCCTGGCGCTGGGCTCAGGGGTGGAACTGCCTTTCTGTGGTCCCTCGGGGTGGTCTCTGCTGCTTGTACCCAGAAACCTCTGAAGGGGCCTTTGGCAGAGCATCTCACGTGGAAACTGCTTCCCTGATAAATCACTTCCGAGTCTGGGACAAGTACCTTGAAAGCTGGGGAGGGGGAGGGGCAGGAGAAAAAGGAGAGGTTAAGTTTCGCCTTGGTGAAATACTGGGCCTAGGCCATCCCTGCTTACAGACAGCAGAGATAAAACGTCCAGCAGATGTTTTGTTTGGTCAAACAAAACATCTGCTGGAATAGATTTAATTTCCCTTTCCTACAGAGCTACCAGAGAGAGTTTAACCAAGTTAGCCTATGCATTGCTCCTTCCAGTCATTTTCCTTAAGGAGAATGGGGATGTGTCAGAGAAGGACTTTAATTGGGAAGTCCTGGGTGTCAAGCTCCAAAGGGAGTGAACTCAGAAGGGAGAAAAGGAGAAACTGTAATACAGCTTGTAGGTGGAGGAACTGTTCTTTGTTCCCTGTCCCCAGCCCATCCTGCCATGCCTGTGCAGTAGAGTGGCTATTCATGCAAGACCTTCCAGTAGCTGGATCTGTCGTCTGTAGAATATCTGACCTAGGCAAATGTTTTTAGCACATGTCAGAAACCTAAGTTGCAGTTGAAGTAAAGTCCTTGGGGTATAATGGATCTTATCCAGCTGGGTTACATCAAGAAAGTAGAATATGCCTGTTCTCTGATTTGTTTCCACTGTCAATTTCTGAATTGAACTAGGGAGATCTGCCTGCCCTTGGCCTTTCATGCCTCATTGCAAACATCCCAGCTTAAAGGGCCAATAGGAATGAGGGGGGAAAAATATAATGGACTTAAAACTCTTTGTCTTACAGATACTAGGATAAGTTCAGCCAAGGGTTAATCAGAAGCAATACCACTGTAAGAGGGTTAAAAATGCTCTGAAATTGGCCCAGGAATCAAAGTTGGAAGATAATATTTGGTACTTGTTTCCCAAAGTCCTGAACCCTGATATTAAAAAAGACAGTTTAAAATCATGGTTGATCATTCCATGGAGCAGCCTGCCCAGGAAACCAACTTAAGATAGTGCTTCTTGGAAAAGTAACATGCAGTTGCTATCATTACTAAACAAACCTCTCTCTTTATTTGCATCCATGCTCCAAACCAGTTACTTGCTTTTACCTTTTCCTTCTCTGTAAGTTTAATATTACCAACAGAGGAATTTTCACCCAATTTGGAAACAGCTGTTGTGAAGTGTCATTGTTCTAATATGGGGCCTTGTAAGAACTATGTACTATGGCAGCATAAAAATACATATTCCAACCCTCTTTTCCAGACTGCATGGTCCCTTCCTAAATCTCTCTCCTCTAAAACTTTTCTGTTTGCTTCCTGGTTAATGCAAAGACCAACCTTCTGCAGACATTAGTTCTCCTCTCTGCCTTGGCCTTCTCTTTTAGGAAGCACCGTCTCTGGATTGCTGTCATGTGAGCACTGGTCATCTGACATAGCTACAGGACAGATCCCTGTAAAAGGGTATTGAAACAGACATGTTTGTTTAAGGATTTAGTGGTTTGTTACATTGCTCTAGTCTGCTA